TGGCAAAAGACTGCTTGGTGTCACCCTATGAATTCAGTCACTGGCTGCGTTACCTTAACTAACCTCTGGGCTGCACAGTGAGAGTCCTTTGATGTCTCCCTCCACTTCAGTTTGAGACCTATAATCGCCTCTTATCACTAGGTGAATGCCAGCAGTGTGCTCTTCCTCTGGGTAGAGAAGATGACACCTGCTTCCTAAGATTCGTTTGATATGTGGGTCAGCCACCAAAGAATATTTGCTTTACTAGTGGGGAGCAAACCTGCCTATAAATGCCAAGAACAATGCACCTGCCTCACTGCTCAAGGGATGTAGCACAACTATTGATTTCACTGCAGTTACACCACCTTGCAACAGCAGTGAAGTTAGCGTGCTCTTCAAGAAGCCTGACCCAATAGGCAAAAGTCTAGAGTGAAGCTCCCAGTCCCAGGTCTCCTGTATGCTGTTGATGGTCTTCTGCACTCTGAGGATGGCTGAATAGTTCAAGTGCTGTAGTGTAGATTAAATAGATGGGTTTTTAAATAGTGAGCCCTCTAGTGGTGCTCATTGTGATGTGTGGTTTAGAAGCCACCAGACCCAGAGCAGCAGTATATATGTAGCTAGGCCTGACATGTTTGTGTCTTTTTAGTAAACATGGTAATTGGGACCTAACTGTGCCCAGGTAGTTTCTTCATATTGAAAGAGCAAAAGGCACAATAAGCGCCAATTTGGAATGTGCCCTTTAAGGAGTGAATTCAATTGTGTGCAACCCAATTTAGTTGCAATCCAAAATGAGACATTATTCTCCTTTCCCTGGATATATGAAATTCCTATTAATGGTAATGTGCATATGCCCGGAGAGGAGAAACTCTATGAGTAATTATATGTAAGGGGAAGTACAAAGTATATCACTGCAAAGATTCATTCATAAATTTTAAGGCCAGAAGAGACCATTACATCATCTTCACTGATTTCCTGTATAGCACAGGCCATGGAACATCTCCCAGTAATTCCTCTATGTAGTTCAAAAACAGAGCCATAAGAAAAAACACATATTAGAATATTGCAAACTTTAAAAGTTGTTCTAAATCTGGAAGTAAAATAAGGGACTGGGCCCTATCCTGCTCCTATTGCTGTCAACAGAGGTCAATATTGCCATTAACTAAAACAGGGGTGTTTCTACCTGTATGAAGATCGGTATTTTGTTCAGTACCATGGGCAAAATTAATCTCTTGTGAAAATCCAGTTAATTTAATGGATAATGTTGCTCCTGTAGCTTTGTGAATTTCAACTGTTGAATTTCTTATTTCTTTCCCCTCTACCCTCAGAAAAGACATTTTCTTTAAACAGCAGTGTGATCCTGGACAACAGCATTTAGACATTTATTTACAAATTCCCTGCTAGTCAACGTCCATAGGACATAGGAAGCACATTCTACAGTTGGCTTCCCATCTCCAGGACTGTAACATCAAACTGCATTTTAAATGTGCCTGGCCAACATTCAGAGGAATGCCACACACAGGAGATGATCCAGATTGTCTACACTGCTTGTGTTAGGCCATTGTGTATGGATTAAAACTCTGGGAAAGAGCCAAAGAAGGTAGAATGGCTGGTTTTCATTTTATTTGTATTACAGTAATACCTGGTGGCCACAATGAAGACCAGAGACCTATTGTGCTAGGCACTGTCCAGACACATAGGGCAGGGGCCAGGGATGGTCTCTGGCTGACATCTGAAAATCTAAACAGGTAATGCAAAGGGTAGGAGAGGAAACAGGTGCAGAGAAGTGAAGTGACTTGCCCAAGTCACACAGAGGGTTAGGAGGGCTAGGATTAGAACAACAGTCTCCTGCCTAGTTCTGTAACTTTTTGCAAAGCTGGGTTATTTTTCTGTAATAAAACAATAGAAATATTTAAATAGTTGTTTGCTTGATCATTAATATTCTATATTTTAAATGAATTACAAAGCCAGCTTGTCTCCTCTCCGTAGACACTAAAGAGTCCATAGTACTCTGTAAGCGAGTCACCAGCTGCACTTAAATGTTCAAACACTGACATATTAATCAGGGCCAAGACTTGAAGAAGTAGAAGGTTAGACTCCTAAATCCCAATTTAGTCAACTAAGTGAGTGGCCTGCTTTTCAAAAGCAGTGAGCACCCAGCAGGTCCCACTAATCTCAATGGCTCAGCACTTGGGGGAAAAACAGGCCACTTAGGTGCCTGAATAGGGATTTAGAAGTCCGTCCATAGCCGCCTATTTTTAAAAGGCTTGGGCTGCCCAAGAAGGTTGCCTCAGCGTCCTTGACCAAGTTTTCCCCTCCTTTCCCCACCATTATGCAGCATGATGAGCTTGTTGCCACCACGCACGTTGCAAAGGTGACAGCATTTCAGTGGTGCTTTGAGATCCTTCAGGGTGAAATTCACTGTGTAAATGTAATAATGTCCTAGCAAGTGGAATTGCAGTGTGGGGTCATCCGAATGACGTGATCAACTCTGAGAAAGTTACCTTGTCCTGCAGTAGCTAGGACGGTCTTTCTAGCAATAAGCAGTAATTTTCTGCAGGCCAGTCATGCATTAATCCATCTCCCTGTTGCATTTAAAAATAAAATTTCCCTCTCATTATGTATTTACATTTGCAGAGGCTAAATATACATGTGCCAAAGTTAGGCCTGGATGCTTAAGGGCTTTGCTGAACAGGAATGGACTTAAGCACATGCTTAGCCAGGGACATTGACATTGACAGTGTGGGTCAAGTTTTTCAAAGACAGGAGGTTTAGTTGGACTTTTAAATAGTTCTTCTATTTAGGAGTCTAACTGGCTTAAATGGGACTTATGCAAATATGTGAATGCTTTGCTGAACTGGGCCTTAAAGGCAAAAGTTTGGGACGTACCAAATCAGAGCTCCAGTCCCAATTGTGGCACAGCATTCCTGTGCACCCTGCAGAAATTCAGAGTGAGTGAAATTCTCCCCTGTGCAGAGAGTGAGCATAAGGCCCATTCACCACTTAGCTTATGCACCACTGAAGCCTAAATGGGGCCTTTGTGCTGGCCTTCTGCATTGGGGAGAGTTTCAACAGCTAGGCCTCGTCTACAACAGTATCACCACCCCAAATGTTCAAAAATCATGAGATTAAAAATATGCTCATGATTCAGCCAAAAAATCAAGTTATTGGCCTTCTGATTTTTTTTAACCTTTAGGTTGCACTTGGGTCACATTTTCAACCTTTTCTCCCCAACCATGAAGGCTAAATAGGTTTTTAATGAAAGCTGAGATTCTCATGTATAACTCCAGGAACTGGGGTGTCAATATTAATACCAAAGTTTGTAAAACTTGTAGTAAAGTTGCAAAAATTGACAACACTGTTGTACTTTGCAGAGCATCCAGGACCGGCTCTAGGCACCAGCAAACCAAGCACGTGCTTGGGGCGGCAATCTGGGCGTTTGTTTGGGTTTTTTTGCTTCGGCAGTTGTGCTCTCGGACGTTTTTAAAGGTGTGATTTTTAACCAGTAAGGGTGATCAGATAAAGCAAGCCTAGTTTAACCTATAATAAAATTGACTAGGAACAGATTTAAGCTAAACTGCAAAAAAGCAAAACTAAAAAAGCCCCCACTCCTAAACCAACCTAAAGGGATTTGCACCAGTTAAATCAATTTAGTTAAATGGACATAGTTTAACTAAACCAGTGCTAGTTTGGATCTAAGAGTTTGTCTACACTGCAATTGGGAGCTGTGATTCCAGCATGCTTAGACATACCCAGATTGCTGCAGCACAGACAGTGGCCACTCAAACCTGTGCCCGGTGTTCTGGGTGGGTGGGGCTAGCCTGTGTAGCCACTTGTTCTGCCATGGCTTTACTACTGCTATTATTCAAGTTAGCTTGGTTATGTCTATGCCTGCTGCAGTTACACCTTCTGACTGCCATGTAGACATACCCTAAAGCATTAATGTCACTAGGCGGGATTTTCTAAAGCACCTACGGGAATTAGGTGCCGACTGCCAATGGAGTTAGGCACCTGGGAGCTGGGTGAGATTTCAGTGCTTAACCCAAGTGTCTCTTATTTCTCCCATCTGTAAAATAGGGATATTAATACTTAACTACAGTACATCGGAGGGAGGGGGGTTTGGGGAGACTAAGTTAATTAAGATATGTAAAGCTATGAAATCTTCAGATAGATATTCCTTCTAAATATGCCAGAAAGGCACATTCTATGTGCCTGACGTAAGTTAATTGACAACTAGCCCCATCAACAGCCCACAACAGTTAAAAAAGTTAAGAAACGTAAGAAAATAAAAAAGGGTAACATGTTTGCAGTACTAATGTGTAAAAAGGCTGCAGACTCTTCACCACTCTCTACTAAACACAAATCAATAGACGGGAAGTTATAGATAGAATTCTCTTCCTGCTCCTCGAGATATCACTTCAGTGACTGCTCTCCTTGGAAAAGCAGAAATCTCCCTGGGTTTTATTTCACATGACAAGGTCATAATCAAGAAATGAGCTGAGATTATTAATTCTGTAGCGTGAAAGACATCTGCACCAAGAGCACACGCTGTTTTTGTTTTGGCAAACTGTCTGACAGTGGTGTTCTCCAGCCATGTCTCAGCAGTAAAGGTCAAGCTGGGTTCTGTACTTCTCTAGAATGAGTTTGACTACAGTGGTCAAAAGAGATTCTTTTTCTACATCTAAGAAAGCAATGACAACATTTTAGGAAAATTACATGGCAAATAAATTTGCTGCCAAGATACATAGGATTGCACAGTCCCTTGCCCTTGGGCCAAAGGGGAAAAGCAGTAAAATATTAATGACCACATTTGTACCGGTTCGAATCAAGAAGTTTAGAGGCAAAAGGTTATCCTGTAACTTTGGAATTACTGCATGCAGCCAAAGAATTAAGTCTTTCAAATACAGTGCTTGCAATGGTCTGTTTTTCTACAAATGGAGCAGTGGGGATTAACCTAGTAAGTAAAAAGGCAGCAAGAATTTCCCATGTGTACTGAATTATTTGTATCTATGTTTTCTTTCCAGTTGGAGTTGTCTAACACAGCAATCCTTCATCAGATTAGGAGAGACCAAGTCACAGATACATGTCGAGCCAACAGCATGTCTAGCAGGAAACGCCGTGTGCTGACACCCAACGATCTCAAACATTTGGTGGTGGATGAAGATCATGAAATGATCTATTGTTATGTACCCAAGGTGGCCTGTACAAACTGGAAGAGAGTCATGATGGTCTTGACAGGAAGGGGCAAATACAGTGACCCCATGGAAATACCAGCCAATGAAGCCCATATATCCTCAAACCTGAAGACCCTCAACCAGTACAGCATTCCAGAGATCAACCACCGCTTAAAAAGCTACATGAAGTTCCTGTTTGTCCGTGAGCCTTTCGAGAGACTGGTGTCAGCCTACAGGAACAAGTTCACCCAGAAGTACAACACCTCCTTTCACAAGAGATACGGTACCAAAATTGTGAGGCGCCAAAGGAAAAATGCCACTCAGGAGGCTCTGCGTAAAGGTGATGATGTGAAATTCGAGGAGTTTGTGGCATATCTCATTGACCCAAATACCCAAAGAGAAGAACCTTTCAATGAGCACTGGCAAACTGTCTACTCCCTCTGCCACCCCTGCCATATCCATTATGACCTCATAGGAAAGTATGAAACACTTGAAGATGATTCCAATTACATCCTTCAACTTGCAGGAGTAGGCAGCTACCTGAAGTTCCCCACCTATGCAAAGTCTACGAGAACTACTGATGAAATGACCACAGAGTTCTTCCAGAACATCAGCTCGGAACACCAAACACAACTGTACGAAGTCTACAAACTTGATTTTTTAATGTTCAATTACTCAGTGCCAAGCTACCTGAAACTGGAATGAGGGGGAGAAGGAAGAAAGAAAGCCTGTTTTATTTAAGATTTTTATTTGTCATAATAAATATGGAGAATTGTTATTTTGTAAATTAATATTTTCTTTTTGAATGATGCTGCGAGCAGCACAGTCAAAATTATTTAAATCATCTGTAAGAAAGGACAGTTCTCTTTGCGGGGGTAACAGGATGGTGATGATCTCGCTTTAGAAATGAATATTACTGCTACATTGTTTATAAACGTTAATTGTGTTCTGGTGAATTTCATTTATCTTTGCATTCAACAAATTCTAATTAATGTTATTTATACTTATTTAAAACATGGTCTCTTGGTAGGTTTCACTTTAGCAGCAGAAATACGATAATATTTGGACAAAGGAAATCTGGTTTTGTGCTTTCCTCAGCTGAATTTATTTGTATATTGTTACTAGCCATATGTTTTGGAAACCCTAGTAGAAATAATTTCTTCCAAGGTGATTCTGCACTTAAAGCAAAATTAGAAAGTTATCTTCTCATACAAGAAAGAAAAATATGAAACATTTTGTTACAAAAATATTTAAAATCCAGGACTAAAAGAAATTGCTTTCTTCAAGGGATACATTCAAACATACATTTTTCTTATCTGGACGGGTTAATATCACCAATATCGTTTGTGTCCCAGTGCCTGGCATTTCCAAGCCTGCCAGCCCAATGAATGCTGACAGGGATTTGTGCATATTACATACCAACAAAGTATGTGCCAAGAGTTTCAAAATTAACTAGAGATTTTGAATGCTCAACCTGAGCCACCTTAATGGAGGCCTGATTTCAGCAAGTGGGTGCTTAACGTTTTCTAAAAAAATCAGGCCCTTTTAAAAGATCTCAAGTTGGGCACCCAAACTCACTAGTCACTTCAGAGAATCTTGGCAATAATAAGTTTGTATATACTATATAGGCATCCAAAAAGATCACCTTGATATTGATCTGAGCATACGGGGCAATAAAAGCACTCATGTATCCTTAATACATGTTGGTTTCATGGCCTCTCCCTTCCAGGGGTAGTGTTGTTTTCTGTTTATTAGTCAATATTAAACACCATTGGTGAGCGTGTTTCTAATTTCCAGCTGTTTAATTCTGCACCTGAGTTAAGTCTAGTATGAGAACATGACCCTTTGATGTAAGGTGAATGTTTCAGTAGCAGTTGCTCTGTATATAACGTTTGTTGAGATGAAATGTACTAGGAGGAGTAGATTATTTTGTTATATGGAGAATGTTTTGAACAAAGTATGGATAATTTAGTCACTATAAATAAGAAAAAGTGGTATTCTAATCTAGAACTATTAGCAAACTCAGTGCGAAGAATACAGACTTCTCCAACTGCAAAATTTATTTAATTTTATCTGCGTTGGATGTAAATGGGATCCAGCAGTGGGTATGCTATTTATGAAATATTATGTACTCACTACTGAGCTATCTTGACCTGGAGAGGTAGCAGAGGGAACTAATTCAATACATTGCTTTCCCACTTTCTTGTGGCTTATTTTCCTGTAGCTGAAAATGGAACAGAGGAATTTGTTTGAACCAGGTGTTGATAATCTAGGCTGTCACTTTGACAAGTGAAAAGTTCTTTATTACCATAAAGGCTATAGATTTTACAAAATCAAAGGTTGCTATTGATTTTGCAAACATTCATTGGGCTGGGATTTTGTTTTGCAAAAAACAAGGTGATGGGTAAAAAAAAAAAAAAAAACTTTCAAAGGTGCCTATGTGATTTAGGAGCCTACATGTGATGCTTTTTTACTTCGAGTTGTCCATATCCATCTCTCACTATAATCAAATTCCCAATGTTCAAAAAGTTGTGAGGAGGGTTAGATAAAACAGCTCTGCTTTTGACCCAATTTATCAGTCTCTGGGCTAGACCCTGGAATTACACAGATTTACAATTGTGTCAGTCACCAGGACCCACACAGACACTGTTGACTTTTAAAGGGGACTAGGACTTAGAGGAAATAGGAGTTGGTCCTATTTTGCAAAGCTATTGCTGGACAAAAATCTCAGTCAGGACAAAGTAACAAAGCTAACAAGAAGCAACTAACATACTTTCACAGCTGAAATTTGGCCTTAAACAAAACAAAAAAACACACACCCCTCCTGTCAATTCTAAAATGGACATTTTATATATAAAACTCAGATACTATTTGGGAGAGAGGATAGCAGCAGGGGTAGTACGCAATTGGCTGGCTGAATTTATGAATTCCTAAGTGGTTTCTGATTGCCTACTCATTTTTTACTTGAAAGCAGTTTTGTCTTGGATAGCGTGTATGGGATCTGGTGCAAGTGCCTATCACAGGGTGTGCCCTGTCTTTCTTTTATTATGTAGTTCACTGGTTATATATTTGCTTTTTTAAAACCCCATCTACGCTGATGGTGGATTTTTTCTACAAGTTATTTATAGGTTGTATCTGCTTGCTCAATGCTGTACCTGGCAGTATTAGTATTTTGGTCCAATTTTCTCTATCATCCGTTGGGTGTTTTTTCCCCATTTACAGGAAGTTATTTTTAAATTGTCATGTAAGAAAAAATGCTGGTCAGTAAATTTTTAAAAACTAAGGAATGATGCACTTTCCCTCTGTCTTTTTGTTTCTACTCATCCCTTGTCATCAGCACAATTTCATCTGTTCTTATATATTCTCTTTCATTTGACTGTTTTGTGGACATATTTTATTTCATGTTTTTTGATAAAAAGCACTGGGTGAAGAACGTTTGGAAAAATGAGGAAGTTGCTATTAAAAGAACCAAGATTTTCAACAGCAGCCGGTGATTCAGATGCCTAAACTGAGGCACTTTAAGAAGCCTGATCTCAGAAGGCAGGTGCTCAGCACTTTCTGAAAATCCTTATAAAAGGGGTCTCAAAGGGGGCACCCAAAATCGCTTGTTGTTCTTGAAAGTCTTGGGCCTAGATTATCACAGGGTGTTGATTTAAATAAGGTGGAACAAATTTGACAACATTGAGCATAGTTTAAAAAAAAAATTCACAAATAGAATATGGTAATATCCTACTTCCTAACTGGGACTAAACAAGAGGATCTACTTAAAACTACAGGGTGTATTGATTTGACTGAGCCAGGTTTTCTTTTGCCTGAACCCATAGAGATATGGCTCTGAGGATCTTCCAGTATATTCAAAAAGGCACCATCCTTTCACAGTGAAGAGACTGGCAGAAAAACAAGATTTCTCTTTTTCTCCCACAATTTCCCAAACCCAAGATAAAAGATCGAATCCAGCAATGGAATTCAGAGCATCCCTATGGCAGGATTAGGCCCCTAGCCCTTGTCTTGTAACCATTTATCCTTAATTCCACTAACACACCACTCACACCTAATATTTGTTAAGACTAATGCAAACTTCACACAACAGGGGTTCCATAAGTGTACTTTGACTTAATTTTTATTTTTATTTTTTTTGGGGTGGAGGGGAAGCAGTTCCAGTCAGGTCAACAGGGCCATGGAGGGGGGGGGGGCAAATTCCATGCCTGCCTGAGGCTTGCAGTTTTGGAGGGAGGGGGGCAAAGTGACCAGAGCTGAAAAATGAGAGTATAAAACTAAGTACAAAACATTGATCCCTAACAGTACATACAAATCCTGAGGCCATGTCTTCATGCTCTGATAGTTGTTACCAGTGTTAGAGTAGTTTGTCTGCAGTGGATCCAAACCTGTAAGCTTCTGGGACTCCAAACTATACTGAGTCCACATCATGAAATGTCATCTAGTTAGAGTTCACAGAAATCGGACTTCCTCCATGCTTCAGCCTCCTTAAAAATATGTTTAGGGACCTTTTCAGAGACTGTCTAACCAAGTCTTACACACTGCAACAGCAAAGTGCTTTTAGAAGTAAATTGACCCCTGCTGTTTTAAGGTTAACTGTAGTCTGCTGCACTTTTCAGGTACAAAAAGGGACTGTCCTTACTATTACTCTTGTTACAGAGAGTGTTATTTTCTTACATGCATGCACAATACATGTACATATAATTTAACATCAATGTGTGGTTTGATTTTTTTCCCCCCACCTATTTGTATGCAGTAGAAGGCTTGTTGTAGAAAAGTATCTCCTCATATATGAATATACTATTAATAAAACAAAAACAAAAAAAAGCTAACTTATACATTGCCAACAAAAGTGTGAACTGCTCATGAATCTTTCCCTGAAGAGAAAAAAAGCCATTCAAGCCTGATTATTTTTCTAATTAACTTCAATTAAATTGAAGAACGAGTTTCTCTGTGTGTTTTATTTCTGTCTTGCATTCTAATATACAGATTAGGGAAGGGTTTTTAAACCAAAAATACAAAAATAAAGAACACACACTTTGAGGTAAGCAACAGATTGTATAAGATGGTAATGCCAGAAGGGACCATGATGCTCATCTAGTCAGATCTCTTGCATAACAGACCATAGAACCACACACTAATTCCTCCATCAACCCCACAACTTGTGTTTGAGCTACAGCCAATCTCTTAGAAAGATCTGCAGTCTTGCCTTCAAGATTGCAAGTAGACTCTTGGTCTCCAGCACGGAAAACAGGGCTGCTCTTGGCAATGACCTAAATTAGTTTTCACCCCTAAGTTAGGGGTCGGAGTAATGTGAAGGTAGTTTTCCCCCAAGGAGGAGAGTCGGACTGCAATGCTTTCAACATTGACAGGTCCTGAAACCAAGGATTGCATTACAACAGATCAATGCTAGTGGCCCAGTTCTCATTTTCACTGAGGCCCCTTGCGCCACTCTGGCAGCGTAAAGAAAATCAGTTGGAGTTAGATTGGTACCTAAAGACCTTTGTGAATCCTACCCTAAGAGTACTTTACATTTGTGAATCCCACTCTAGGAGTGCTTTACCAGTATATGCTACTGGCAAAGTACTCTAGTGAATGAAGCTTTTACCAGCTTCCCTAAGAAAAACAAGTTATACTGTTAAATGCAGTTTGGCCAGTATAACTGCATCTGTACTAGGCCCTCTTGCTGGCACTGCTGGGTTGGTCATAAATGATACCCTGACTGGCACAGCTATGCCAGCAAAAGTTTATATTGTAGACATAGCCGTAGTCTAAATCAGAAGAAGGCCCTAGGGATGTAAAGCAGTGGAAAAAATTGGGAAGGGGATAAAAGTCCTGACATTTCAACCAACACACAGGGCTTCCAGCCAAAAGGAAAGGAACACAACAAACAAAAAAATAAACAAAAATCCTGAAGACTAACATTTCAGATACAGTTAGCCAATGCTTTGTTCTATATCACACACACTGCGGAGGGGAGCGATGGCATGCTAAAGATCCCGTGCCAGCAGCCCAAATGTAAAGCCTCCTAAAACTATTGTATTTGAGAGACTGTGCAATGGCATACAATGAAACCACTCCCTGGGTATGTCTACACTGCAACCTGCGGCTGGCCCATGCCAGCTGGCTCAGGCTCAGGCTGCGGGGCTGTTTCATTGCAGTAGAGACCTGGGTTCTAGGATCCTGTGAGGTGGGAGGGGCCCAGAGTTTGGGCTACATCCAGAGCCCGGAAGTCTACGCTGCAATGAAACTGCCCCGCAGCCTGAGCCCCGCATGGCTGAATCAGCCGGCATGGGCCAGCCCCGAGTGTCTAACTGTAGTGTACATATAGCCAGACAAAACACTAATGGGGATTAAGCATGTGCATTTCTTAACCACAGTAAACGTATCAGCTATGTGAACATTTCAGAACACTCTATGCAGAGGGCTCACTTCACCCACACTGCTTTAAATTCACCTCTGCAGTGAAAAGCAGTAGCTATCCAACAGCACACACAAGAACTGCATAATGTACTTTCAGCTAGTGTTAATAAATCCCACACATCCTCTTCATGACAACATTCCCTAGAGGGGAGACATTTCAGTGTTAAAAGATAATGGAGTCAACCTACGGTATGGCAAGTTTTCCATCAGAAAGCCAACTAAGCCTCCTGATAAAGCTCCGATGGACCCATCCCCTCAGCCCTCGAGGGCTTCTAGCTGCAGGAACGCTCCAACATTCACACTAGTAATTATTTAAAGCTAACTGACTCTCCCAAATTTATTCTTCAAGTTCCTTCTCTAATATCAAAGGGTCTGGCTACTGAATGGAAGCCAGCAACATCAACTCAAGGACAGATTACACTGATAGTACATGCAGCAAATGTCTGGGCTCAGTGCCAGGCTCCATCCCCACAACATGCAATGTGGGCAGGATTGGCAGGCCCGGATCAGGACTAGAAAATGCACGCAAACACACCCCTGCTTTACATCACCCCACTTAAAGCAGTGCTAGGTTTCTTTAATATGATAATTGTAACACCACCTGCAATTGAACATTTCTAGCCCTAATGAACTAGCAGTAAATGTTTTCATTACAAGTTACTGTCAAGAATAAATAAATGCAACATATGATAATCAATACAAATAGCCCTACACACACGGGCCTGGGCTAAAATGAGAGCTGGTAATAAAGTCTATTGAAGGCAGGTATCGACCGAGCTCCATAGCTCAGTCGCCTCCGCTCCAGTCTACTTCCTCTTCTGTTTCCAGGAATGGTTTAGTTTGTTGAAGTACCCCTGGGGATCTGAAATGTATTAACATTGTACATTTATAGACCATGCTTCATCCTGAAGACTCTCAAAGTATGTTTATTTCTGATCCCATTGGCAAAACTCTCCTGCTTCACTGGGAGCAGGCCCAGGCCCTATATTTATAGAAGAATTGCTAACTCCACTTCTGAAACAAAACTACTTCCGGGATGAAACACAGCAGCTGTTTAAGAGCATACGGCAACACAACACCCACCTAGAGCAAAACACTGAAGAACACTATTTCCAATTGTAAGTGCTTGGGGAGTTTAGGTGAGCAGAAAAGAAAAACAGTTACTAACCTTTTGTAACTGTTGTTCTTTCAGATGTGTTGCACAGATCCATTCCACTCTTGGTGTTGCCAGAAGTATTTTTCCCCCTTCAGTGCCACCCGTCAGGGTGGCTCAAGCGCCATCTGCTGCCCTTGGTGTTAGTATAAAGGGCCCAGCTGACCCACAGTCCCCTCAGTGCCTTCTTTCCAGGAACTCCACTGCGGAGGGGTAAGAGAGC